ACATTGGGAGGTTTCTGGTCTCTCCTCAGCTGGCTTCAACAGGTGTCTCTCCTTCATCAGACACTGGCCCCCGAATCAGAACCGCACCTGCCTCGTTAGCGCTCATTGAGGCTGGCATTTCTGATAGCAACTTTCCCCGGGGCTTGTGCTTGCCTTAGCCAGTCAGTGAAAAACAAGATGATGTACAACAGCTTTTCCATAGCTCCTTCAGAGAGATTTTCTCCCACTGATCTTGTTCTCATTTTGCTTGTTCCTCCCCACCCAGATGCAGAGCTTCAGCTATCTGTCTGCGGCTCTGTACCTCTGCCAGCTACCTACCTTTGGAAGAAGGGGCTTTTTTTTTTTCTCCCCCTGAATCTGCCTCAAACTCTAGCAGCTTTGTCAGGTCATATATTTTCTGGGGAGGATTATGTCCCTTCTCTGTTTCTTCAGTCTTTCTCCCTGACAGTATCCAGTTTGGTCTCAATTTATCCCCCTCTACCCTAGAAACAGTTTCCGACACTACAGTGGCGGCTTTCCCTGCTCCTGAAGGTAGGGGCTTTTTGTCCGTTTCTGTTTTCGGGGTCTGTGTGGTTTGTGTACAGACTGAAAATCTAACAAGGGAGGTTTTTGCCATTTCTAAACTCCCATTAGGACAGGTGCTTTGCATCATCAGGCCTTCACCTGGCCCAGTCCCCCAGTGGGTTGTGCTTGTCTGGGTGCTCAAGGACAGAGCTTATGCCAGAGGCAATCACCCCTTAGGGCTACACTCCCTCATCTCAGGGAGTCAGTTGAAACAAAGCTTTCTCAAAGAGGTGCTTTCTCTGACAGAAAAGAAAGCTTTACTCCTGGGTAGTTCTGTTCTGCCCTGGCTGGGCTCTTTCCCCAGACAGCGTTCTGACTCGGCAGCACAACTGCTTCAGACACAGTTCAACTTTACTGTTTTCCCAGAAAGGTTCTTTCTCTGATAGGAAAGCTTTTTCTCAGATTTCTTTTTGTAGCTGTGGACCTATAAACCCGGGACTTGTAGGAAAGTGGACAACTGTGCCATTCCCACTGGCTTTAGCTTTGTTTATTAGCAGTTTTCCCCTAGGTCCTGCACCTTCCTGCCTCAGCTCTGTGCTCCAGGAAGTTTGCAACTGCAGGAACCCTAGTATCCCCGAAATGCACTCCAACTCAGAGACGCTGGCCAGTCACCTCTGGGGTTTTGGTCAGAAGCGAGGATACAATGCTAACAGTTTGTATTGCTTCAAGGGATCTTTGCATTAGGACGATGAGGAGCACCTTTCCATTCTGAAACGCTCACTCAGACAAAACCCTTGATGCCTCAGCTCAGCTGTAACTGTGAAGCTTGGCTTTTTTGCTTTCCTCAGGTAAAGTTTCCTGCCCTTTTGGGCTCTGTAGCTCTTCACCCACACTCTCCCAAGCGTTCCCCTCAGGGTACTCTGACCCACTGTCTTACTAGCTTGAAGAGACAGAGCTTAGAAGAGGTTTTTAGGAACTTGTCCCTGCCTCCCGCATTGCAGGGAGGATTGTTAAAGCGTGAAAGAACTTAGAGAGGTCTTGCTGTCTTAAGAGGTTTGTTGTTTGCCCTTAGAGCTAATCACAGGTGGTCCCCATACTAATATCTTCAGGTGATTCTAATTTGTCCTTCAGAGAGTTCTGAAAGGCTGTTTTTAAGTTTAAGAGTTTTTGAGAAACATTAAGGCTTTTAAGAGCGATTTTCCCCCCCAAAATTTTCCAAGAAAAGCTTTATAGTTTAAGAGAAGGATTTCTCCCAGGAGAAAGACCAATTTTTCCCAAAACTTCAACCTTTGACTTCTTACACCCCCATTTTTGCCTCAGGGAGAAAACACTTTCTCCTGCCGCTTGGACTTAGCATTTCAGCTGTCCCCAGGTCAAAAGCTTCCATAGGAAACTTTTTCTTCCCCATAAGCTCAGAGAAGAGCTTTTTTACTACCCGTAAAGCCCAAAGAAAGATTTTTTTCCCCAGTTTGCGTTTATAGCTCCCAAAGTGAGAAAATTGAAGAGTTTTTCTGTCTAGTTGCCTTACTTATTTCCTACACAATCTTACACTTCTAAGTTTTTCCTAATCTATATTACTACCCTATACCTTATACTTATTTTTCACAGATAGAAATTGAGACAGGGATAGAAGATAGAAAATTTTGACAGAAGAGAATTTCACTGCAGCATCGGACATCCTTCCAGTCCGCTTTCCTTTTCTCTTGAGGATAAAACCCCTGCCTCTCAATAATATATAATATATAAATATATATAAATATAAATATAAATATATATATATATATTTTTTTTTCCATAACACCGGCATGCCTTTCCATTGGCAGGGCTGACTCACTTTCGCCAAAAACTCTGTAATAAAACTATTATTTTCCTTTATCTTTAGTCCCTATTTCTTTGTCTTTAGTCCCTGTTCATTTGTCTTTAGTCTCCCTTTTTTAATCCCCCCTTTTTTTTCTTTAGTCCCTTTTTTTTCTTTTTTCTTTAGTCCCTGTTCATGGCGCCATTCTGTGGGGCGTTTACCCACCAACCCCACAGCTTCCCAGAGTTTTCTTGAGTGTGAGCAGCAGGAAATATTAGATAGGATTTATATTGCAGAGAATATTGCAGAGATAAACAGATAGAAAATAAAGGATAGCCTTGAGAGGACCTGGAATTTTTTTCCAATGGCCCCAACTGTCTCTGCCCCAGGGTTTTTATAGAGACGCCAAGGGGTGGAGCAAAAGACCTCCTCCCCCAGCACAGCCAAGTGCAGACCATCTCAGACCCCTGCACTCAGGCCCATGGTCCTGATCATCCTCTATGTGGACCTGCTGGGTAAAGCCACGAGGAACCCCAGAATGGGCTCCCACAGGTGACTAATAATGAAAAAGCACTGGGAATAGGAATATCTTAAAAGCCTTCCATGTTTGAGATTCTGATTGTTTCTTCCCCTAACTACCGTACCACAAAACCATTCAAGACCACCAATTCCTGCCAGTAAGACTGTGTCACTTAAGAACACCTGATCTGGTGCTGAACTGCAGGCCCAGTTCCCATAGTGAGAGGCCACCAACTCTCCCCATGGCACGAGCCTCCATGCCGAGTTTACCTGGGATAATGAAGATGATTTTTGCACATTTGTGTTATAGTCGTGATAATCTTGGTATGAAGTATCTGTGTTGTTTCAATGTCTTGAGCACAAATTTCTGGCAATTACAATATCCTGAGTTTTGCTGACACAGAAAAGGTCATAATTAAGTTCAGGCTTACAGCTCTGTGGGATTTATTTGCTTTTTAAAAATTTCAGTAGGAAATCCCAAACACACACAACAACAGGGACTGTGATCAAACCCCTGTGTGATGAGATCCCAATTCACAGCCACCGTCCATCACTCCCTTCGGCCGCTTCCTTCCTCTGAGCACATCGAAGATGTCAGAGCACTCGCTTCAGACACATCGGTGTTCGTGACAGCTTTCCCTTTAAATCTCAGGCTAGCACCAAGAAAAACAGAGGAAAAGGCTAGTGCAGAGAAATGTCTACCTGATTTCCTTTTGTTGAAATGTCTGCTGGTTTAGTTGTACCGGTCAGTATGAAAACTGCCCTTTGAAGAACAGGCTAACAGGCTGTTAGAACCCTGGCTAGGGCAGGCCACGTGCCCTGAGTGCCACGTGCCCTGAGTGCCACGTGCCCTTCCTTTACTTCAGTTACTCCCGTGCCAGCATCCCCTCAGCTCAACTCTAAACTCAGTGTTCACTGAGGATGTGCCGAGCCCAGATACAAGTTATTTTCAATGTCTACGGTGGTTTCTGTGCACGCCTCACCCTAAGTCTACGGTGCTGAGGGGAAGCTTCTGAGCTTTTCCCCATTTGTATGCCAGCATTGTCAAGGTCAGTAACTCAGAGTTAAAGCAATAGGAAATATTAAATATAGAGAGAAAAACCCTTTTTAAATCTAAGGAGCCAGAGAAGACAAAGAAAAAACAAAAATAAGACCCCACCAGAGTGGAATTGTACTTCATCTGAGGAGTACGAGATAGCCTTTACAAAAGCAAGAAGATATATCTTCTTCTGAGAAGATATATCAGCTTCTTCAAACTCTGAACTGGAATTCAGCTTTCAGAATTCACACACACACACACACACACACACACTAACTGCTAATTCAAGTTCCTCTTGCAATTTTTCTCTCTCCCACATCTGCATACACGTACACAGGACAGTTCATGCACACACACACACACACACACACACACACACACACACACACTCACCAGTTTCTTATCTATGCCTACACGGAGACTGCTGTGCTGAAAGACAGCGGTGGATTCCAGCGCTACATTTGTGTGTGTGTGTGTGTGTGTGTGTGTGTGTACGCGCATGTGTGTTACTTCACCAAATTACACAGCACTTGAAAGGCTTTACGACCAGCCATTTTCTCCTTTGTTATTATCGTGTACAGATTACGGATGTTTCAAGCATATCAAATCAATGGGAAGCTTGTACTGCTGCAAAATACCACACCGTAAGGAAGTAATGGAGTACACAGTGAGGGCCCAGCCAGACCTGAGAAGCAGAACATAGCCTGCCAGGCCCTTTTCTATCACACACTTTTCCTTCTCTCTCTAGAACTTGTCCTCTGAGGGGCACTCTCACCTTCACACGTCCTTGTGTTCTGAAAGTGTGTTCCCCTAAAAGCGACACGAAATGTGCAAGCACAACAGTAAACAATAGCAAGAGGTCCAAGTGTCCTGTGTACCGCACACTTCATGTCTCCTCCATGTGAGAAACGACTCCCTGTCTTACCGTCAGCGAGAGTGACTACAGGCTGCGGCTGGAACCCCAGCTTGAACAGTTACAGGAGACAGAGGTCTAGGAATTCAAGGCCAGCCTGGACTCTGTGAGGACTGCTCCCTAACAAGCACGTGACCTTTCAGTCTACCCAAACCGCTGGCCTCGAGGACAGGCAGATGTAAAAGTCTGCCAGTCGGCTGACCTGTGAGGACGCACTCACGGTCTCTCCAGCAGCGACACTTTAACAACAAACACGTCTCTGGACTGGAAACTGCGTGCTCTGATCCCCATAGAGATCCTCTGTTTTATCAACACAGATCCTTCAGAGAGAAGTAAGCACTAAGGAAGACCAGTCCCTTAAATTGGAAGATTCTGAGGACAACTGGGATGGGTTTATGAAGCTGGCTTCGTTGTGCATAACTGAGATTTTCTCTCAAAACAAGGAAGAACTGCAGTCAGTATCTGAAGTGATGCGGACTGGATGCGAAGTGCCTGGTGGATTGTGTTGATCTCCTCCTCCTCAGGAAGCACAGGTTACAGGGATGAGGCACCAGGGAGGCAGACTGCAGAGGCTGTCTGTCACATTCCCTCAGTCTTACTGAGAATTCGCTCGAGCCAATCAGGTTCTGAAGCACAACCACATGGGTTCACACGGAACATCACATTTTACTTCCATCTGTGAACCAGAGTAACTCTGGAGCGGAACAAAGGCAAAATAACTGTGGTGGGTTGAAGAAAATGGTCTCTAAAGGGAGGGGCACTATTGGAGGTCTGGCTTTGTTGGAGTAAGTGCAGCCTTGTTGGAAGAAGCATGTCACTGTGGGGGTGGGCTTTGAGGTCTCCTGTGCTCAAGCTACTTCCTGTTGCCTGTAAGATGTAGGACTCTTCGGCTACTTCTCCAGCACCATGTCTGCCTGCATGCCACCATGTCCCACCATGATAATGGACTGAACCTCTGAACTGAACTGTAAGGGAGCCACCTCAATGAAATGCTTTCCTTTATAAGAGTTGCTGTGGTCATGGTGGCTCTTCATAGCAATAGAAACCCTAACTGAGACAGTAACTAACGCTCCAAAGTTGTCACTAACAATCTGGAGAGGTCCATACAGCTTGTTAGATGCTCACGGAACCACTAGTGTATTGGCAGGCTGGCTCTCCAAGCCAGTCACAGCCACACTTTACCTTACAGAGTGCAGAGAGGATCGGGACATTAAATATAACACAGAACAGAGGTCAGGGAAAGCTGGCAAAACTTTGCCTCTTCCTGTTCACCCCTGGATGGAAGACATAGCACAGGCCTCACTGTCACGAATAAGTATGTGCAAAGGTCTACACAGTGGGCCACTGGGACAGGGAAAGGGGACGGACACTTGTCTGGTCTGCACTGAGGGTCTCTGTACTTACGCAGGAGACACATAAAGATACCGGAGAAGCTGCCATACCAGGGGTTCGGTTGCTGCAGCTAAATCTACTTACAAAGACAATCCTTATCTACTCTAATATTCCGAAAGGAACCTCTGCCTTGACAAGCTTGATTTCCTCTTCCCCAACTAAACAGCAGTAACATACGATCAGCGCAGTGGGGAGGGAGGCGACAGGGGCGACCTCTGTGACCAGTGCAAATGAAAGGGGGGTGAACGGGGGACACGGGGGGGGGGGGGCAGGGGCGGGGTGGGTTCAGGGTAGCACGCAGAAATTACGATCTGATCCATGTTCGCCTAAGTTATCTTCCAAATGCCAACTTTAAACCGTAAAAAACATAGTTTATTCCTTGGACAGCAGAAACTCCAACTTAGGTCTTAGGTCTGAGCCTTCCCACTTGGAAAGCTTTCTTCCAGGTCCTCAGCAAGAGTCTTATCAACGTCACGTAGAGCTTGAATGAAGCCTTCCACCTGAGAGCCGCACAAAGAACCAAATAAGTGTAGTGGAGGAAAAGGCAGTTTTAAAGATATTGGTGGTTAACTATGAAAATGCTCCTCCTGAGGCTTCCAAAGCCAACAGGGACACGCAGCAGATTCACAGGTGTCACCAAAGCACTTCCTGCAGTCACCTGAAACACTCGAGCAGTGACCCCGGAAGTGACAGACCTCCCGCTCCCTTCACTCCTGAGCTATCACAGATCCCTGCTGCTTTCCTTTTAGGGCGGTGCACTGACGTTTTATTATAATCCTCTTTGCTGACTAGTCCCCTTATGCTTTCCTTCCACAGCTCATTTTCCTAAAAACTACTATTGTGAAATTGCCCTCAATGGTCCTAAATATTGTTATGTGAAGAACCATAAAAATGTATTCATAAAAATTAGGCTTGAGGACTAGGCACGATGATGGCACATGCCTTTAATGCCAGCACTCCAGAAGGCAGAGGCAGGCAAAACTCTATGAGTTCAAGGCTAGCCTGGTCTACAGACGGAGTTCTAGTCTAGTCAAAGCTAAACAATGAGACTCTATTTCATGAGAGAGT